AGAGTCACCACCCGTGGAGGTATTTAAAAGATGGGTAGACATGGTGCTGAGGGACATGGTTTAGTGGTGGGTTTGGCAGTGTTGGGTTGATGGTTGGACTCGGTGATCTTCAAGGTCCCTTCCAATCTAGATGATTCTGTGATTCTAAGGTATATTATCAAGGATGCACAGAAAGGAAGGGGACAGTTGCTCACTTTGGGCAATGCAATTAAATGCTAAGAACAGAGCTAAATTCTTAGTCCTGCTTGGTAGGATATGAACTGTGGACTTGTGGGTGATGAGAATTCAAGTAAATCTGCACTTTTCTTGTTGTAGTTTATTGTTTTGATAGTGGTTTTTTTCTCTGAACTCTTTCCTGTGTTGTCTGTAATAATGTCTGTCACCATTGATACAGTTTTTCTTTTTCTGCACTTCACATCCAACCAAACCATTCAGGCAATTGTTAAATGTAATAAAGTTACTAGAGTTTTCAGTCTTTAGTAAAATCTGTGATGTTTATTAACTGATTTTTTTTATTTTTACTGTGCAGATTTTATCAAAAGGGGAGCTGCAGGTATCGGACAAAGAACGACACACACAGCTGGAGCAGATGTTTAGAGACATCGCGACTATTGTGGCTGACAAATGTGTGAATCCTGAAACAAAGAGGCCGTACACAGTGATCCTTATTGAAAGAGCCATGAAGGATATTCACTACTCCGTCAAACCCCACAAGAGCACGAAGCAGCAGGTTAGTTTTCTTGCAAAATCAGCTTCTGCTCAGAGCTGTTGTCTTCAAGTGTAGTTTCTCTGTTAGCGGTCACAGAGGGATCAACAACACCCTGTGGGCTACAGCCCACAGAACGATTAGTCAGCTGGCCGGCAGTTGAATGCTGGATACAAGCAGCCTCTGAAACTCATGCAGTTTGTTTTCTAACCATTCAGGGAAGGGAGAAAGAAAGAAACTTAATTAAAGCAGCAGCAGTGATATGCCTGGAACAGAAATAAAAGTGTTATGATTTATTTTAAATTGAGGTAGTAAATCAGGCTTTGCATCTGAGCCACATGGGTTTCTGTTGTTCTGCACTATAACCGCAACTTAATATTATTTCAGACTGGGTTTTTTTAGTATTTGAAGTGATCACAAACAGCAAGAACTCTGCCTTTTCTTGCTAATCTATAAAAATAGCGCAATAGCAAACTCCCTGCAGCAGGGCGGCAGTGATCAGCACTGAGAAATGTGTCTGATGCTAGTGCAAAGGATTTGACATTTTGGTCTGCGTGGTGTTTTTTAAACAGGTGTGTAAATGCTCTTTCTTCTTAACGTCTTTCCAGGCGCTGGAAGTGATCAGACAGTTAAAGGAGACCATGCAAATTGAACGTGCTCACATGAGGCTGCGATTTATTCTTCCAGCAAAGGAGGGAAAGAAACTGAAAGAGAAGCTCAAGCCACTGATTAAAGTTATTGAGAATGAAGACTTCCATGAACAGTTGGAAATTGTAAGCGATAAAACAGTCCTTGTGTTTCATGCTTGATTTGACTACACCTGTACGGTTGACTAGAAGATGAATTGATACATGGAAATAGTTTAGATAAGCTGCAAGATTACCAGAGATTCTAAAGCAGAGGCGTAATTTGTACTTTTCAATTTCACACAGTCCTAGTGATGAAAGTAGCCTTTATTACACTGAGATTGCTGCTTCAAGCTGAGGAGAAGCACAGTCTTAATTTCTCTTAGCAGACTTTCCTACAACACTGACAAGTTTCTCTGCAAATATGGAATGTTACTTTTACTTATTTGGCGGGTCAGGCCTGTATTTTGACAGCGGTTAATTAGTTTTATAAAAAAATAGTGCTAAAGCAAAACTTGGTATTTGTAAAAATCTTTCTGAGAACAGATTAGAACATAGCAATCCCAACTGTCAAAAGACTTGTCCAGTGTGTAAATGGAACTACAGAACTTCTGTGGAAAGATTATGTTATAGAAATTGCTTATCAACTCTGCAAAGTCCTTCTTAGCACTTAAACGATTTATTTTTTCTTAATGAAAATTAATGTTGGACCTTAGAATTGTAGAATCATTTAGGTTGGAAAAGACCCTTAAGATTATCAAGTCCAACCCTTAACCTAACACTGCCGCCTTGAAAGGGGGCTAATAAAAATCAAATATTATTGCTTGACTGATGAAATGTGAAATATTTCAGGTGTGCCTTATTGACCCAGGCTGCTTCAGAGAGATTGATGAGCTGATCCGGAGCGAGACAAAAGGGAGAGGAACACTGGAAGTGCTCAGTCTGAAAGACGTGGAGGAAGGAGATGAAAAGCTTGAATAATGACAACCTGCCTGGAGTGATTCGATTTTGACAACATCCTACGAAATGACTGGCGTTAGCCACTCTCTTCTGTTAGGCCGTCATGTTTTTTCCAGTCTCTTGCTGCCAAATATTTTCTGACACTAATCCTTTGGGATTTTTCCATGCAGTGTGGTTGTTTTTTTATCATTTTACACTTGCTTGGTTTACAAATGGGTTTGCCTGTAAGAACATTTTGTGTCCAGAGTTGCACTAATGAGGATTGAGTTAAGACTCGAGACAGAAGTTACTGTAGCTTTGGGTTGCTTTAAGGGTTGCTGTTGAAGAGTGTTTGGTACGGTGCCCATCATTTTTGCTCTAAGTTGTCAGTGTGGAGTGGCAGATCGCGTAGGTCACCGAGGGGTGAGTTTTGTATGTGCGGAGAGGAACCTGAAGAAAAGGGAGCTGCATTTTTCACTTCTAAACCGGTGCAAAGTGTGGATCGCATCTAAAGTAATCTCGTGGCAGCATGAAAATTTAGACTTCCATAATTGGCTGCTTGATAATTAGAGTACTTTAAAGGACCATTCTTACGATTTCCTTCACTGGATATAACAGTACTTGCTGACTTAGAAAAAATGTTCTCCAAATAACTTATTCATAAAATATATTTAGCTACATTAATAAAAATGAACTATCATCTATTTATATATTACAGATACAGAAAGAAATAAAAGAATTATTTTTGTTAATAGTATAGGAGGTATCTCTGGCCATGGCGATGCTTTGCAGGCCGAAGGGGTAGTCTGCGCTTGTGAGCTGTTCTCGTTCGCGTGGTAAAATGAATCTCGACCAGGCAGTGGTGGCCCCTGGCCATTGAGGTGGACAGGCTTTTGTGGGGCCGTAATTCCTGTAACTGTTTGTATGTGCCCCTTTTCTCCTTAGTCTGATAGAGGACAATTCTGGCAGCTTTCCTCTATCCTCTCATCTTTTTTATGCTGCTTTCTAATACATGCACAGAATTTCCAGCCAGCTCCTGAGGCACAGTGTATGGTTCTTGATAATTCCGTCTCGTTTCAGCTGTGTTAAACAAATGCTTTTAAGTTGAACTTTTGTATTTCAAAGAAGAGGGGAAGAGAGGACAATAGCTGGAGACGAAGATAGTAAAAAATACATACCACCAGGCAAAGCGTATATGCTTGGGTGGCTAAAAGCTAAACCAGCAGGAA